CCCAGCTCCCCCCAGAACAAGAGGCTCCCACGTGACCTGCAACTTTCTGTCCAGGTGTATGAAAGAAACGAACCATCCACCAATCACAATCTTCCACCTCGGTCCGCAGCCTCCGCTGTACATTTTCCCTCCATTTTGCCGTCCGCTTCCTCAAATTGCCCCCCCCCCCCGGCCCTCATCCGAATAAATCGACCTTCCGAGCGCACAGGACGACTCCAGAAAGTATAACCGGCTCTGTGGTGGAAATTCCCCACTTGAATAAGGATGACGCCCCCGTTTGTCGCCTAGCTCGCAACGGAACCTCCGAGGCCAAAGCGAACAGAGCGGCAGACATTTTGCGTCCCGGCCCGCGGCCACTTCCTCTTTTTAAAACAGCCGCTGCTCAGACTTCGCAAAAACTGAGAAAGGAAAGGCGGCGAGATGACCTCAGCAGAAAAGTCAAGTCGGTTCAACAGGTTGTCGAGCAAAGTTGTGACATAATGAGTGACATAATCGACTTATACAACGCGGACCCGCGAATGCTACGGCTAATTATCTGTCGCGGGAGAGATTACGAGCAAAACGATTTCATACCGTCGTTCGGCGTCGAGCGGAAGGTTTTTAATGATCTCAGAGAAGGAGTCGGCCTCTCGTCTTCATGTCCTCTGACAAGACTGGCAGTTTGCCTTTACCTGCCCCAACTGGTCTATCCAGTTTAGGAATGAACGTTGGCTTCTATTGTTTCCGAGCTTTTCTTTCTGCTAAACCGAGCCGGAATTCGATACGCGTTATTTATCGCGTCAACATGAAACCCCCCACCCCCCCCACCCCAAAAGCGAACGCTTTATCCGCAACGCGATCGCCAGCAGCGCCTCTCCCGATCTTAGCCGACCGACAAAAAGTTTGAACGGCAAGCGTCGCCGAGCAACAGGTCCCGAACGCAGCTCGCGTCTTAAAAAGCGGACACCGAAGACAAAGAAGGGGTATCGCGTTTGGTGAATTTACCCAGCTTTTCCCAGGTGCGGTCACCGAGCCAGAAACCCAACACAAGAGCCGTCATTGTGTCGGGGTGGTGGGGGGGAGGTTGGATGTGGATGGGGGGGGGTCTTGCCGCCCTCGTTGGCTAGTCCTCTTCTTTCCTGCTCTGGCTGAAGGACACTGGCATGGCGGTTAGGAGGAGTAAGAAGATGTCCCTCCTTCCAGGTAGACGGCAGCCCGGATGATGTCAGAGGAAAAGCCAAACCCCGGAAGAAAAGTGCCTCAGTCATCTTCCTGGCGCCCGAGCAAAACTTCTTTCTTTCTCTTGGGCCGTGTTCAACTGTGAAGCTCCTCGAGAAGACAGAGGCAGAATTTGTAAAGGGCTTCGTTTACATGTAGCCCGACTCGCGCCCCCCCCCCCC